TGTCCGCATTCATCTTGGCAAAATTGATGTCCACAGTACAAAGGGCATTGGGGCATGAAGTTACTGAATTAAAAACTAGATTTTGGGTTGATGATTTTGAAATTAAGTGACAAAGCACATTGGGGACATTGCCCTGGGGAACAAAACCCGGCCGACATAGGATCAAGAGGCTGTAATGCTTCTTCTCTCAAGGCCAATGAATTGTGGTGGAAGGGACCCATTTGGCTTTCAGGTCCCCAAAGTATGTGGCCTGTTCCATGCGAAATAGCCGAGACAATAGAAATGCATGAAGAACTGAAAAGGTCTACACTTGCGAGTTGGATAAAGGCAGCACAAGTTAGCTTGAGAAGGCAGACAAATTATGAACAGTTAGTTGACCGGCTTCAAATTGTAGAGGAAGAAGGTTTATTACGATGTAAGGGTAGACTAAAAAATTCAGATTTCGATTTAGAAGGTAGGCAACCTAGGATTTTGCCTAGAGACCACCCGTTGACAGAATTAATTATTAAGGCTTGCCATGGACAAGTTTTACATAGTGGTTTACGTGCGACACTAGCTCAAGTTAGAAGTAGGTATTGGATACCAAAAGGCAGGCAAGCAGTGAAAACAATCTTAGGAAAATGTTTTGTGTGCAAAAAACATGAAGGTAGATCATTTACAGCTCCAGAAGCAGCTAGCTTACCCGAATTCAGAGTAAGACAATCGCTTCCATTTTCGAAAGTAGGAGTCTATTTCGCAGGGCCCCTGTATATAAAAGAGGGCAAAGAAATAAAAAAGGTTTACATTACCCTATGGACTTGTTGCATAACAAGAGCGGTTCATTTAGATCTAGTTCGAAGTCTAACTACAACTAATTTGATGAGGTGTTTGAATTGATTTACCTCCCGAAGAGGTCGACCAAGTTTGATTGTGTCAGACAACACGAAAACGTTTAAGGCTGCATCAAAGCTAGTGCGGAATTTGCATGATGATGAATTAAGCGGTTATTTGGCAAATAATTGTATAAAATGGCGTTTTAATCTAGAGAAATCTCCTTGGTGGGGAGGGTTTTTCGAAAGAATGGTAGAAATGGTAAAACGAGCATTAAGGAAAATTTTGGGTAAGGCAAAACTAACCTATGATGAAGTTTTGACCAATTTAATTGAAATCGAGAGTACTATCAATTCACGACTGTTAACCCATGAGTACGAGGTAGGGGTGGAAGTATTGATGCCATTTCACTTTATCTTTGGCTACCGACTTCAATCTATGCCTGATGATGTGGGGAGGGTTGACGATGATGAGGCAGACGAGATTGAAGGGCATCGTAAGAGGTATAGGTTTTTGGGAAGGTTAAGAGAGCATTTCTGGACTCGTTGGAGGCGAGAGTATTTGGCTGATCTCAGAGAGTACCATAAGGGTAAGAAGAAAACTAGTGATGTAGTTGTGGATTTGGGAGATGTTGTATTGCTGTTTGATGAACGAGTGAAGCGTGGGTTTTGGAAGGTAGCTGTGGTTGAAAGGTTGATTAAGGGTAAGGATGGGGTTGTGAGAGGAGCAACGGTTAAGATGGTTGAGAAGGGGCGAACGAAGTTTTTGAATAGGCCAGTGCAGAGATTGTATCCGTTGGAGATTCAAAGTGATAAGTCTGATGGTGATGTTGAAACTCAGTCTTGCGAGAATAGTGACACGCCACACAGACCAGCTCGTAGAGCCGCTGCATTAGACTCCATCTGTGTCATATACTCCTATATATTGTATTAGTTAATTTAGTTATGGTATTGTTAAGATATATTTAGTTGATTAAAGTAAGTAGGAAATAACTTAGATTCCTAAGCCATGGGCTAAGGATTATATCTCATTGGAACAGTATTTTGTTAATGGTAAGTTGTGAATGTCACCGGACATACATATGTCACTTGCATGTAAATTTAAGGTAGTTAAAATGATTGTAAACTGATTGTCTTAGTCAGTTGGCCATTGCGGCACGGACTGAACGTTGTAACAAGTATTGTTCTTAAATATATATGGAAAAGTTGTGAATGTGTGTTAGTTGATTCTGTGAGAACCAGTAGAGGAGTGAACTCCTCAACAGTAACAGTACAGTTGCTCAAACATCAAATGCTACACTGCAGCTGTCTAATTAAACCCTACCAAATGATTGACAAATGTCTTATTCAGTGGCGTAGCCAGACTATAATTTTGGGGGGGGGCATATATCGAACGGTGAAGACATGAGCATTTGTAGGGGGGTCCGGGGGGAAATTTTTGAGATTTGGAGTCCCTCAATGGCGATTTCCTGTGTTTCTGGGGTGAGATTTTGCACAATTCTGAAGATTATTTACTGCAGGAAAGACCTGATTTTTAATGATTTCTCAAACATGTTACTAGCTACTCCTGAAAATGTTTGGAGTAGGGAAAAAACAGGAAAAATGTTGAATTTCAAGATTTGTTAATAAGAACAGTTCACATACTTTAATTAAGACGACCTTCACAGGAAGCAACAACCACAAAAAAACGGCATTACTGAAGTAATTTCAGCATCCCGAATAGTAATAATTTTATTAATAACATAAAATATATACAAGCACCCCAAAACTGATCTTATTTATATGCATATGTATTGTTTGTAAGAACGAGTTAAGTTCTTGAAGATTTCTAAAACATGTGGTATTGTCATACTAAATTAATTCTTCTCAGAGATATGTCCACAAAATCCTGAATCAGCTTTTCTATGTCTAGCCCTTCCATTATGTCAGATTCTACTGACATAAGCATTAGACTTTGTAGCCTTTCTTGGTTCATCGTTGATCTCAACCGAGATTTGATAAGCTTGAGCTTTGAGAATGCCCTTTCTGCACTACAAGATGCGAGGGGTAGCGTTAGAGCAATTTCCATCAATTTTATGGTAGTACCATAACACTCTGGTTCCTCATTCAATACTGTGAATATGTCAACAAAGGTGGTTCGTCATTTCTCAGACTGCTTTTTTCAGCACGCCAGTGAGCAGTGACAAGACTTGCAGGGAAAATATTTCGGTTTGAAGAGCATCTATATCCAAGTCTTTTTGGAACCATTTAACTGCCACAGAGATTTTTGTCCATGCTTCTGGATCTCCCAATCGACAAGGATGCAAAAACCCTAGACCTTGCAAGACTTGCACATTATTTGTGTCGAAACGGCTCGCAATTGAAGCAGTCATAAGATCAAGAACCTATTGAGAATGGAAGGAGAGAAAAGGGGAATACACACCGACAAGACCAGATAACTTACATTATAATAAAATGAGACTCTTAATTTGTCTTTTGCTGATATGTGTACAGCAGTCTGGAGATTGTCATCAATTCGTCAAGGAAGTTTATGCGGACGATCTTCTTTTGGTTCTGCAATCCCTAGTTCACAGCATCTCTCCAAGGTACTTTTCCAAAACAACTCAAATTTCACCTCGCACCGAAGAACTTTGATTGCTGCTAGGAGATCTGTCACCCTCTCACAGCCAGAGACAACGTCCAAGTCTTCTGATTGCAATTTATCAGAGATGCCTTTACTGAGATGCATGACTTTTTCCAGGACCTTAAGTTAACATTAAAAAACAGAAATATAAATATGGTCAAACACGAACAAGTTTAACAGGTGATCTTATTCTCATTGGTTGAAAATGAGCTGAATTTTAGCATTTAATTCAGATTTTCTGTTCTTCATTGCATTAGCATATCATTAAAAAGCCATAAACAAGTGTCCAATAAAATATAGAAAATATACGTCCAATGCTAGAATAAATTCAAACTCCTGGACATTTTGGAGTAATCCTTTTGCTTCAGCAACGATATTTGCTTTCTTCTCATTTTCCCTGATATCGTCTAAAGTTGCAATTACAGCTTTTATAGTGTGGTGGAATGCTTTAATGCAATCAGCATGACAGGCCCATCTGGCATCTGATAATTTCTTTAATACATACTCTCGCTTTCTTTCTTCTTCTTCACCAGAAACCTGATTAACCTTTCTTTGTTGTTCCAACAAAGCAGGTTTCAATGAATACATACAAATTTTGTAATGTTCCAAAGAAATCTTTAGCAATTACTGTACATTAATAATGAACATGTTCACCAAGACTTTAATACTGTATGTACCCTGCACAATCATTTAGATGGCTTTCAATAAGTGGGTCACTCTTTGCCATATGTGCAATGAATTCTTTAAAAACTCCCTTGTTCATTGAGCATTCACCCTCGTGGCGTCCCCTAAAGGGTAAATTCAGTTTGCCCAGTAGTTGCACCACATTGATAATTCTGCCAATAATCGTTCGATTTCTTTTCACCTAAAGAACCATTCATCGTTGATCTCAACCGAGATTTGATAAGCTTGAGCTTTGAGAATGCCCTTTCTGCACTACAAGATGCTAGGGGCAGCGTTAGAGCAATTTCCATCAATTTTATGGTAGTACCATAACACTCTGGTTCCTCATTCAATACTGTGAATATGTCAACAAAGGTGGTTCGTCATTTCTCAGACTCTGCTTTTTTCCATAGTGTGGTGGAATGCTTTAATGCAATCAGCACGACAGGCCCATCTGACATCTGATAATTTCTTTAATACATACTCTCGCTTTCTTTCTTCTTCTTCACCAGAAACCTGATTAACCTTTCTTTGTTGTTCCAACAAAGCAGGTTTCAATGAATACATACAAATTTTGTAATGTTCCAAAGAAATCTTTAGCAATTACTGTACATTAATAATGAACATGTTCACCAAGACTTTAATACTGTATGTACCCTGCACAATCATTTAGATGGCTTTCAATAAGTGGGTCACTCTTTGCCATATGTGCAATGAATTCTTTAAAAACTCCCTTGTTCATTGAGCATTCACCCTCGTGGCGTCCCCTGAAGGGTAAATTCAGTTTGCCCAGTAGTTGCACCACATTGATAATTCTGGCAATAATCGTTCGATTTCTTTTCACCTAAAGAACCATTAGCTGTTTGTGTTGAATAAAGAAAACTAGCTGTTGGGAAAAGAGAAAAATTGGTATGGATATATTATCACTGAATGATGCTCACTGTCTCTTGACGATAAGACTCTTGTCTTTCTGCTTATTCACTTATCTGATGATCAACTGGTTTCTGATGTTTCCAATAACAGTATGCCTGAAGAGATTGCTTGTGACAGTCTGATTTTGGTGCTTTAATAGTCAAAACTTCAGATTTCGCCCAATTACCAAAACCAACTTTCATAAAAGCCTGATCACTCTTTGACAAAACCTAGAGAAGGGAAAGTTTGACAAATTCAAAAATACTATCAGTAAAACCCATTGTGTATCCCATTCTGAAAGGAAAATTTTGCCAGTTTAAACTGCTTTTAATGAAGTTCCGTCTACAGTGTTTTTTATACTGTAGTCGTACTGTTGTAGGATAATCTATTTGGATATGGAAGAAATCAGAGTTGCAATTTTAATACTATCGATGTTCAGATTAACATGAAAATAAAAATTATACTACGATTAATAGAAAAAGATCAGTATTTAAAGACTAAAGTATAAACACTTTGATAATAAGTCTAATTTATATCACTCACTCAAGAAGCTAGAATTACCTCACCTGTGTATTAAATACCCTGCAGTAAAAGCAGAAAGCTTTATCCAGTGATTTGGAGTATTCAAGCCAGTCAAACTTTTCGTACCACAATACTTGAAACCGACGATTTTGTTTGTTTGCAGGGAAGTTATGATCTTTAGGCTGGCAAGGGCCTTTGCTTATAACATGACTTCTAGCTTCCTTTCCAGTGGGCAATGGACAGCAAGGATCACATACATAATTCGACTTTGCCTTGTAACCAAGCCTGATTCAAGATGGCCGTCATCTGTTGCTTAGCAACTTACCGTCATTTTTACCACAAGAAATTTGACGCAAATTCCACTTGAAATGTCGTAAATTTAGCGGTAAATTTAATATTTCGCGCCATATTTTTAATTTTTAAATATCGTGCGCCATTAGACAGTATTTACTCTAGCTATTTCAAGTTCTTCTTCGAATTTTTTGATATTATAATCAGCAATGGAACCCAAGGGAATTCAGAATCTTGGAAATACTTTATGAACAGTATCTTTCAAAGCTTGTTGTCCATCGAAGGATTTGTACAGCATGTAGATTGTCTCGAGCGTTGCAGTCGAGATTTTACTTTTAGTAAAGCATCAGGTGAGGATCCTATGGTATATTTAAAATACACTATAGCTGTATTTAATTTTGATTTGATAAGAGGTCATTCCATTTGTTCTATTCAGGGCTGTCGTAAAAGTCTTGGGCCTGTTCCATGCGAATTCAGACAAATTGAATTTATTTTATTCATCGATTGGTCGTCATCAAAATGGTTTCGTTTCAACTTTCAAATGATGAATTTAATTTGTTTCATACGATGCACTACTACCGTCGCATTTATTTCATTCAATTAAATATTTAAATTTGTCTAAATTAAATTTGATGATAGTGCGCTGTGCGACGTATGAAAGAATGCACTTTTCTTGTCATGCGGGGTTTCCCCTGTGGTTTTTCCTAGCTTGTTAGTATCAGTTTAATAGACCAGTTCAGAATTTCGACTGCGCATCCTATGATGCGTTCTGACAGCCTAGACTAGGAAGACCTATGCTTCACTGAACAGGTGGCACTTGATTTGTAAGTTAATAGACTTCATGACGTCACAAGGCAGATTTTTCTCTCCTCCCATGCCCCCTTTTAGTCTCCAGTATCCCGTAGTATAATTGATCTCCGAATTACATGAGAAAATTCGAAAATAGAAGGCCTAGGTCTAGACTGGCATTCTGAGTCATAAGATGTGACAGAGTCTGGACGATTTAAAATGTGCGTGTCAGTACATTAATTAAAGTGCTCAGTCACCCATCCATGTACATACAGCCACAGAACTGCTCATTTATACTACCATCTTTTGTCATGAGTGTAAAGCGAAATAAAAAAATAAAAACGAAATAAAACGTCCTGTTGCTATCCATGCTTTGCCAACAAACTACTACGTCCATGACAACCGTTGTCCTCCCTACCCACAAAACCACGGATAGTCCGATCATCAGAAGGCGTTCGTGTGTCTTACAAAAAGTTTACAGACAATGAGAAAGAAAAGGCCGAAATTCTTGCACAAAAAGGTCTAAATGCAAAAAAGCATCCACGACTAGCTGGCTGGACACCAGATGATATGGTATGTCTTCTTCCAAATCAAAGTGGTAACGGTTCATGGTTATCAAACTTTGTTATTAACCATATGCTGTTGCTGTTGGAGGACCATGCAAGGGAAATTGGAAACAAAGTGAGAACATTAAATTGCGATGTACTCAACAATATGACAAAGCAGTGCAAGAAACTGTACAAAACAAATACGACACACTATACCCCAATGTTCTTGACTGCGATGTTCTTTTAAACTTATTTAACCAAAGTCAACACTGGACGTTATTGTCAAGAGCATGGTATTCCTCGATTCTTTATATGGAGGATCAGAAGGTGAAACGGCATTTTTAAGGTGCTCCAATTTTCTCACTTGCGCGACAGAAGATAAGATTGATTGGTCAGAATGGCAGTTCTTGATAATACCGGAAGAGCACGCACCTCAGCAGTTAAATTTCAATGATTGTGGAATGTTCTCTATCAAATCGGCTGAAGCATATTGCATTTGGCATCCCACTGGACTTTCAGCAGGGTAATATTGAAGATTTTCGGTACTCCACCATATTAAGTTTGTTTGCTCAGAAGGTGGAAGTTGACTACCAGTATTGCGAACTTCCAGAAGCTGCAAAGCTAAAGGGACATACACAGCACACTACAGCGAGAATTGATCAGAATGTCACATTAGAAATGAATGAGGAAAAAGTCTGCAAAACACAAACTGATGATACTATGATGTACCCACACACATCAAACCCTCATTGCCCTGTTGGACCACAGTTATGCAAAAATGGGCGATAACAATTACTCTAGCATTTCTCTTGACGTGAAACCATCTGTCCTCCCTGCAGAGGTTGCTGCTATCCTGCCACATGGGTACAAATATAACATAGCAAAAATGGAACGGATAGGAACAGAATATGTTTTATTGGTTCGCCTAAAAATGCTTTCATCGTTTCATTTGCAATAGCCAACATTACCAACATAGACGATGTGTTAAAAAATTTGCGTCAAATTTCTTGCAGTAAAAATGACGGTAAGTTGCTAAGCAACTGATGGCTGCCATCTTGAATCAGGCTTGGTTACAAGGCAAAGTCGAAAAAGTGAGCCCAAAATATTATTCTGCGAGCAGGAAGTGCTTCCACCATTTTGCATAATGCATGAGTTTTCTGCAATACTTCATTTTGTGGGAATATTGTGGATCCTTAATTTGACTCAACAAAGCTTACTTGGTCAAGTGTGAATAGTTAAATCGAAGTTTAAAACCTGTTTTAACCAATATTAACCACCATAGACATTATTTTCTGTAGTTAGATTTAGGGAAGACTAGAACTTTTATAGACAATTTGATCAACAGATGAGATTGGTAGTCACATGGGTAGTCATCGTTCCCTAATTTCTACCTGGATTTCATCTTTTTACAAGGGCAGTCCTTGAGCATATTGTGGCCACATGAGGCAGCCTAAAATATGCCACACATGCGCGCATTGCTCTTCTGGCGACTTCATCGCTTGATCTCATCGTTTTGTAAACTCGCTAGTCTCTCAATAAGAAGGCTTCCAATTGGCTCTAACTCTCTTGAACACTGCGAGATGATTGGCTCCTAAAACAAAGGGAATGGAATGTGCAGCTCGTTTCAGCAGATGTTAGTTAGCAAGGGTTAGAGCTATAAGAGCGTCTGCAAGGGAGACTATGGAACACCATGTGTCCAAAAGTTATTTAACAATTATATCATATCATGACTAAAACTGTCATACATAAATAATTGATAAACGAACAGACATTATATCAAATCAGGACTTATTCGTTTTTGTCATTATTTGATATAATGTTATTAACATATTAAGCATTATATCATATCATAAATTTCCGAAAAGTTGTGATATCATGACATTTCGACAAAATCATATGATATCATGAAATTTCGACAAAATCATTATATGATATCATAAGCAATTTGTGTAAGTCCTGATTTGATATAATGCTAATGCGTTACACTATAATATTAAATTAAATGACTTTTCAGTTGATTCATGATATGATATATTGTATAAGAACTTTTTCATTATAAAATAAGCAGAAACTCGAGAATATAAGTTTCCGCTTATTAAGTTTCTGCTTATTTTTTAAGGTAGTAATATAACCACTCAGCACAGCATTTTCACATTGGTACTACCCACACTGGTACAGACAGTTTTAGTATACTTTTTCATTATATCATATAATGAAACAGTACCGAAAAGTCATTATTTGATATAATGCAATAGCATACTGCACCATCTGTCCAAAAATTAAAACTGTCCAAAAGTCAATTAGCCTTATAATAACTGAAACTTCTGGTAACTCAAAACCTCCGTTTCATCGGCCGAAGGCGCCAAACAAATCAACCTCGTTGCAAACAAATCTCTTCGATACGATCGATCTTCCTCCATTTCATGTTTTCACCAGCTAAGAATCCTACTTGCATTCTATTTTTTAAATCGATTATGGCAAGTGGCGAATGTGGCTGGGAAGAAGCAATAAGTAGAGCCATGCAAGGAGCAGTTTAATAAGTCTGTATTGACAGACAGAGAAGCGTCTACATCAAACCAATTCTTGCTGTCAGCATCAAACACGACTAGCACAAGTTCAAGTACTTCAAACATTATAAACCAGGTGTGTATAACCTACATAGTGTTTCACAGAAGTACTGAGGCATTAAGCTTCACCTTTATGAATATTTATCAATATCTTTATTTTACATAATGGCTGCAGAGAATTATACTCAGAAAAGCACCAGAGCTGTAAATATAAATTATATTAAAACATAAGTGTATCTAAAATCGAGGGTTGAGAGTAAAAGTCAAGAGTCGACAGCAAAAAGTTATTGAGCCAATTGAATCACTGTCACAGCAGATTTGGACTCCCCGCGGATGTGGACACCCTGCGGGTGTGGACCCCCTGGTGCCAGTGGTGGACCCCTTTGTACTCCCTTCCGTGGAGTTGGACCCCCTGAAATTCACAGAAAGAAGAAATTTTTAATTCTACGAGTAGGCAATATATATATCCTTGAGATCAAAATAACCACCTTTAAATTATATATACTGTGATCCCAAGTAATCTTCTAGAGAATAAAGACCACCATAGGTCCATTTTGTATGACTGTGTTTATATAGTATAGCTGACAATTAATAAACTATTATTTATAACCAAAAAGTTCAAGTAAGATGCAAATAATGACAACGAAATTTGACTCGGAATGCATGAAATACTGTTCAAAAGATAAGGATCTGGGGAGATTCTGCATTATTAGATGCATAAGTTAATTTCCCCCTACATTGTTCTTTGTAAAACAGCTATAGGATATTATTTTTGCAGGCAGTGGCATGGCCAAACAGGGACTACGCCCTGTAAAAACAACTTCCAGAACTTACAATTGTATAAAAATATAAGGGCTAGGGATTGTGTGAAACCCTTTTTGTCTTATATGATTTGCTGGCATGAAGAGTTTTAAAAATTGGAAATGGGTTGTATTTGATATATTAACCAGTTGAGCACCAGCATGCTCCCCTTCATGAGTAAAATGGTAGTAGACAAAGTAAAAAGTAATAAAAGCAGAGCACATTAGGCTGCAATGCAACTTAATGGGTTAATTTGCACATTTTTCAGGTGACCATGGCTAGTTCCCAATATGCTGGAAATGAGAGTGAAAGGTTTGTTTTACAATTGGATGTTGTAAATAATAGATAACTAATTAACTGCTTATAGGATAACTGTCATCGCACCATGGTATTGCAGGCTCAAATACCTGCAATTTTATCACATTGAGATTTGATTCTTTATACAGTCCTTTATTTACAAGAAAATAGTGTTTATAATTGTGAGAATTACTAACACACAGTTACTTGCAAAACATTTGAACATAAAACCCAAAAAGTACAATATTTTGCAAAATTCCATTACAGATTTTTCCAATAAGTTGTTACATATGCATTAAATTTAGTTAAATAAAATGTATCAGATAATATTAATTAAAGGAATGTTGGTGTATCAGTCAATATGTATTAGGCACAGATTAAACCAAGATCTTAACAATTTTCCTGGGGAATTTATTAAACAATGCACAACTTAGCAGTAATATTAAATTGAAAAAGTATTATTTCCTGGTTTACAGGTCTGTCAGACAGCCTCAGTGTCCCGTAGCAACCTGCAGCCCCTCCCCAATAATTTGTTAATAATCCTTTTTTCAAATTCATGCAGACCATTATCATCTAATCTGTGACAAACTGCAATGAATGAAGATATTACCCATATGTTCCTGCAACTTATTCAATATATAGTTAATTAAATACGCCTTCGCCCATTTAGTACAACTAAATTGTAAATTTTGACATACTAAAACGCTGTTTTCTGACTATCAGAATTCTGTCAAATCTTCCCCAAAGTCCAGGAAATGGCATTTCAGAGACTCTAAATTTAAAAATTTCCTCGGGCCTTTAGCCCTCGCTTTCAGCCCCCCCCCCCAATTGAAAGGAGCTTCCTATGGCCCTGAGTGTTCTGTTGGAAGGAATGATATACAGTCACTATGTGACCTTAAGGTGCCGATAGCAGTAATTTCCAAAAGACTGGGTATTTTTCGCTCAACATTGTACAATAAAATTAAATGTTTTGGACTGGAGCCTACGAAGTACTCCAATGTTACCAAAAAAAGACCTAACTGATCATATCCAAACCATTAAGAAAGACCACCCTAATTGTGGAGAGAAGGTGACCCATGATCAAGCAGTGGAAGCCAGATGCCTCTGCGTTGGAGGAAGTACAGTGTTCCATGCTCTCTGTATTTGTGGCATGTGGACGGGAATCACAAGCTTATCCGATACAAGATTGTGATTCATGTCGGTATAGATGGCTACAGTCGCACTATTATCGATGCTAACGATAATAACAGATCAACCACTGTAGAGTGTTTGTTTTTGCAGGCCACTGAAACCTGTTGATACCCAAAATGTAAGAACAGATCAGGTTGGTGAAAACGTATTGGTGTGGAGACATATGAATTCACATTGGGGCAGTCAAAGAAAATCAGCAATTGTTGGTAGCTCAGTCCATAATCAAAGGGTGGAGCAATTTAATAGAGACTTGAATGTCAACATCTCTCAGGTCTTCAGCCCGCAATTTCAAGAGTTGGAAGATATCGGCTTACTTGACATCAATAATGAAACCGACATGGTTTGCTTGCACTAGGACAGCTTCAATTGAACTCCCAGCTACATCACTCAATATTTCTTCAGTTACCGGTGCGAACGATGCCGAATCGTACAGAAATTCGCCATAACAAGAGTTTTTTGAACTACAAAAACAAATCAACCCATTGGCAGACATCCCCAACTAATGGCGATGTACAATAACATTTTACAATTTCTTTGGTGTACCATCATCGCTCAGCAACAATAAACATTTGGGTAACATTCCTATTAATAATGTATGAACAACAGTATACTCTTTGACTTTGTGACAAGTGCAAGCATGTAGTTTCATAATTCCAAAATGCAGGATCGAGGTTCCGTATAATTAACCCAGTACACAATGTGATGTAATATTGAGGATCATTTGGATGTCAACAAATCTTGAAGTGTTTATGATGAAACGAAATTTTGACCTCATTTTTTTGTTGTTTTGCTAAAAAGTACTGTTGGAGTGACGAAGAACGATGTTTACAGACACTATTTCGAGTCACGAACTAGTGACGTCACAACTCAAAATATATAAAGTGTGATAACTTGAGAGTGAAACGCGATACAAATAAACTGAACGTCATTCTT